CAGTGTATATTTTTACGTATGTGATGAATAATAATTCAAAATGCACAGAAATATTATCAATTTATTAACCATTTTAAAATCAGTGGAAACTGTGTGTACCACCTACATTAACATTTGTTAACTCAGAATTATGACCTTAGAATGTATTTGTCAGTTTCCTGTGATATTCAGAATGAACAGCAATTATTTCTCTGAACTTTTTAACCAGTTGAGCTATGTAATGGAGATACATTGCATTTTATTTGAGGTAGGAATCACATTTTTTAGGTGAGCTTCAGTTTCAAAGGGTTAATACCATTAAATTCGAAAGGAAATGTATTGTAATGAAATGGTTATAATAACAAAGAACTGAAGTATGCGGTGCTTAAACATCTCATTGATCCTATTACAGATTAAAATGTTACAGTGGGTTGAAATAAAAAGTCACGCAGAACATTAATTAAAATGCTGAAGCAGCTTGGTCTCTGCTACTGGTATTACAATGTAAGATTTTCTGTAATATTGAAACATCTAATTTCATGTAGCCATTTTAGTATTGTAACAATTCTAAAGTGGCCATCATGAAATTGTAAAATGTAGGAGACTGATGTGCTGGGAATGTGGCTAGGATAGTGACGCCTGTGAACATGTGTAGATTTTGGTGGGGAAATCTGGGTGCAAACACCCAGTTGAAAGACAAGAAGGAAGATGAAATAATATAAGGTATGTAACAGAATGACTATTGATTAAGAACATCAACAGTAGAATTTTTATATGCCATTGTAGAAGCTGAAAATATTTTTTCACTATTTCATTAAATATGCACAACCATAATAAAGTGTTTCAGATTAGAATTACAGATGTCAACCAGATACATACTTTATGTGTGATTAATGCTTCATCTAAATAAAGTAAGGTCAGTGGTGAGCCATTATGCACTAAAATGAAATGTCAAAATTTTAAAAAGTTCCTTAAGGAGATCTGCAGAGTGTAGCATGAGCATGGATGAACAAATTCACAACTACAAATTAAAAAATTTCATGTAAACAATTTGTGAAATAAATAAATAATAGATTATATTTATAATGCTTTTGTGAAATTCTGTAAGCAGAAATACTGACCTGTCAACTCCATCGTAGTCAGAACCTATGCCAACATGGTTCACACCAGCTACTTTTCGGATGTGGTTGATGTGGGCTGTGGGAGTATAGAATTATTAATATTGTTATCATGTAGAGTCAGTTAATATGGTTATCAAGCAGTACGTATTACATTTCTATAGCCACACCACATGATTAGTAATATAATATGTTTGTAAATGTACAGTCTTAAAATGGTGTGTTATGATTTAGAAGTAGGCCTGCAGCAAGTGTCACTCTGCTGTATTTCAGTATCAGTCAATTTTTTTGATGGAAACAGTTGTTAAATTTTCACCATCACCACCAGTTCTGCCACCACCCCATGCCATTATGATAGGCAGGTATGAAGGCCACTGCAGACTACATTACTGCCTATTGTAATAGCTGTATAAGGGCCTGCATACCTGCCGAAGTAATCGAGGGTCACTCCAAAAGTAAAGCACCATATTTAAAAAAGTCCCCTTTTATTATACCCTGTTGCTATTCACACAGGGCACTGATACATTCGCCCTGCTTCTATCAAAACATAGTTCATCCTTCTCCCGCAAGTGGTATTTATTTATTTAGTGTTCTGTCTGACGACAGGTCCATATGAACAGGATCCTTCCATCCTTTTCTCGGACTGGGACCTGTTCATATACGTTCTTGGCAGATGATCCAGAAGTGGTTTGCCATTGCCTTCTTCTGTGTGTGAATGGAGTAATTGTTGGGATGCCACGGAGGAAAACTCCGTGTTGCCTAGACCACGGCCTTGCCCAACACAAGTTATAAATTTGGGCACCGCCGGGAATCGAACCCGAGACCCCAGGATTACAAGGCCAGCGTTCTAACCGCTAGACCACCGTGGTGGTCCCGCAAGTGGTACATGTGTATTATTCGTTAAACATGGCTGCTGTCCTTGACGTTCGTAGGAAACAACGTGCTGTTATCGAGTTCCTGGTGTGTGAGAACGAGACGGTGGGAAACATCCACAAGCGATTGCAGAAAGTGTATGGGGAGGATACTGTCGATCGCAGGACAGTTAGCCACTGGGCACAAAGAACATCAGGCAAAGGTGGACATGCAGACATTCGCGATTTGCCGCGCAGCGGCAGGCCACAGTCAGCGTGGACGGACGCCAATGTTGAAAGGGTGAACAACATGATCATGGCGGACAGACGCATAACTGTGAAACAATTGTCACTCCGACTGGACATTGAAAAAGCCATTGTGTGCTGAATATTGGAACAGTTGGGATTTTCGAAGGGCTGTGCGAGCTGGGTTCAGCGGAAACTGACAGACGCACACAAAGAGATTCGCAAAACCATCTGTGGAGACTTTCTGGCGCGGCATGAGGACGACGGAGATGAATTTCTTTCGCGCATCGTGACCGGAGACGAAACATGGCTGCACCATTTTGAACCCGAAACCAAGCGACGATCAATGGAGTCGCATCACGCGAATTCTCGGAAGTAGTTCAAAGCTGCTTCTTGGGCTGGAAAGCGCTGATCCCGAGTTTTACCGTACGGGCATACATGCCCTTGCTCCGAGGTGGCGTAAGGCAGTTGAGAGAGACGAAGACTACGTTGAAAAGTATCATATTGTTCCTAAAGGCTGTACCTATCAACATTGTCTAAAGCAAAGTTGTAAAATAAATTTGAATAAAAAAATATGGAGCATTACTTTTGGGGTAACCCTTCTACTTGCATATAAAATGGCTATATAGTGGCTTGGTTTCCATGCAGTTATAATTGCTATATAGTGGACTCCATTCCTGCAGACTGCAATGGTTTATAAGGGGCATCCATATCAGCCCAGTATACAATATTTTGAGGTCCATCATATTTAGTAGGAATTGAGGTTCTCACGGCTGTGATTATGAAAACCAACCCAACCTATCAATACCTAACCCATCCCAACCAAACCTATCCTAACTTAACCTAACCTAACTCAACCTCATATAACAAGCTAACTTAACCTAACGTGAAGTGAACTATACTGTTGCAACGTAGCCTAAATAAATTAATCTTATGAAAGCGTGACGTACTGTGACCAAGCGTGACAAAGCGTGACCTACTGTGAAGCGGTGACCAGGGATGGCCATGTGTCGAAACGTAAAAAACAAATCCAAAGCGTGATCATGCGTGACTAAGGGTGACTAGCCGTGCCTTTCTGTGACGGCGTGACTTAAGGTGACCACAAGTGTCAAAAAGTGAACAAGTTAACAAAGCGAAATTAGGCGTGCCCAAGCGTGAAAGAGCGTGACTACGCGTGGCCACTAATAGCGTGCAGAGAGCAGACCATATGTGTCGAAGCGGGACAAAGATATCCAAAGGGCGACCATGCGTGACTAAGCGAGAATAGGCGTGAACTGCTGTGACGCGGTGATTTAAGATAACGACAAGTGTCGAAAAGTGAGCAAGAATAACAAAACCTGACTGAGCGTGTCCAAACGTGACAAATTGTGATTACGTGTGACCTGATGTATGGCGTGACGAGAGGTGAATAAAAGTGCTGAAACGTGACCCATATCAACAAAGTGTAATGTAACATAACCTAACAAATTCTAACCCAACACAACCCCAACGAACCCAAACTAACCCAAATCAAACTCATCTAACGTAACCTAACCTAACCCAACCCAACCCAAAACCGACCTACCATATCCTAACACTACCGAACCATTAGAACTCAACTTAACCTAATCTAACCCATCCCAACCTAACCCAGCCTAACCTAACAACCTAAGATCACATAACCTTACGTAACGTGACATAAGTTATTGAAATGTACCCTAAACGAATTAAGCTTACGTAAGCATGACGTGTGACCATGTGTGTCCCAGAGTGACAACACGTGGCTAGGCGTGGCCCTCTGATGCGGTGACCATATGTCGAAACATGACAAAGATTTCCAAAGCGTGACCATGCGTGACCTACTCTGAAGGCGTGACTTCAGGTGTCCAAGATTAAGAAAGCGTGATTACACGTGTCCAAGCGTGACTAGGCGTGACCAACTATAACGGCGAGACGAGACGTGACCATAAGGCTCGATGCACACGAGCGAGTTATTTTGGCGAGCTCGCCGCGTCATTTTCTCGCGCGTTTTAGCAGTACATGTGAAGCAATGGAGCCACGCACACTATGGCGGTGACGCGGCGAGCAATTTGCGCTCGCCAACCACTGCTGCTTCGCAGCGAGTTCGCCGATCGCCGCGAAGCAGCAGACTATGTGAGAGCATTGGGCAGTGCACACGTGGTTCGCAATCCTCGCAACAGCTACCGCCTTCCAGTCATGGAGGAGGTATTGCAAGCCTCATCGCAGAATCTTTACTTTTGATGGATGCATCCAGTTTTGCTGCTAGCTCATCAAACGACTTTAAGCTCATACCAAAATAATTATGAAATTTACTTTCATCTTCTCTTAAATCTGTAAACGCTGTCACGAACGCCCCTTTTAACAGCCGTGAACTAACCAACGGGTGTGTCTAATACTTCCTATTGCGTTTTTAAGGATGTATTCATAAACGAAATAGGCAAAACTACAAGTTTTCTTCAGTACACATCCATTTTGGTTGCCATCCAATCTAGTACTGGTGAGAGTTTTTCGGCGTGCTCGCAGCGATGACGCTACGTGTGCACTGTCACGAGTTTCCTCGCTGCGAGTTCGCTGCGAGCACGCGCGGCATTTTCCCGCTCGTTAGCCCATAGTCTTGGACATCACATCCCAGAACATGCCCAGTCCAACAGATGCTGAGCTAAGACCAGAAGAATAAGAATGAGAAGAACGAGAAGAATTTGAAGACAATTTGAGAAGAATGAGAAGAATTGAGAAGAGTGAGAAGAATTTGAGAAGAATGAAAAGAATGAGAATAATACTAGAGTAAGAATAATAACTCAGAATCAGAATTAGAAGAATGAGAAATTTCTTAAATGATTTGAAAAGAAATTGAGAAGAATGAGAAGAATTTGAGAATAATGAGAAGAATTTGAGAAGAATGAAAATAATGAGAACAATATCAACAGTAAGAATAATAAGACTCAGAATTAGAATGAGAAATTTTTTAAATAATTTGAGAAGAATGTGAGAAGAATTTAAGTAGAACTTGAGAATAACTTGAGAAGAATGAGAAGAATTTGAGAAGAACAAGTAGAATTTGATCTGAATGAAAATAATGAATTTTTTAAAATAATTTGAGAAGAATGAGAAGAATTTGAGAAGAATGAAAATAATATCAAGACTAAGAATAATAATACTCGGAATCAGAATTAGAAGAATGGTTATTTTTAAATAAATTGAGAAGAATGTGAGAAGAATTAGAAGAAATTGAGAAGAATTTGAGAAGAAAGAGAAGAATTTGAGAATAATGAGAAGAATTTGAGAATAATATCAAGAGTAAGACTAATGACAGAATCAGAATGAGAAAATTTTTAAATAATTTGAGAAGAATGAGAAGAATTTGAGAAGAATGAGAAGAATTTGAGAAGAATGATAATGCGAATAAGAATCAGAATGATGCATGAGAAAAATGAGAATATTAATATTGTCATTAGGAATAATGTTAAGACTAAGATTAAAACTAAGATTAAAAGTAATTAAAATTAAAATTAAGATTAAGAATAAATATACGTGGTGGTGGTGGTTATGGTTCTGAGGATCTTGTAATCCAATCTGAATCGTTATTTTTTTGGATCTTGTTTATCCTGTAGTTCTATAAATCAGCTGTATGGATAAATTAATCTTTAATGTACTGTAGATCAGACAATTCCGAATATATTGCTGGCTTAATACTTGCATATGATAATGATTATACAGACTTTTCCCCTCCCTATTGCCTCCCTTCCTGTTCATATGTGGATATGTAGGGTTGCCATTCCTGAACATGTTATTGACCATAGGGTATTATATTCTGGGTATTTTAATGGGTATTGATGTCAAGAATGTGTACGATTTATGTATGGCACTTGTCTCCCAAAACACCTCAACTGATCTTAGTGTGTAGCTTCAATTTACTGACCTATAACGTCATCCACTGTAGCATTTCTCGTTGTATTGCACTGGACAAATTCCGAGTAGAAGTTCACCATCACAACGCCGCCATTTTTGGCCTGCAAAGTGAAATATTTACATATATTATTACTGTCACTGAACTAATATAACTACAGGAAAGGAAAATGAACTTTGGGTTTTCCAGTTGTGAAAAGAATTCTTTACCTGTTGTTACTGGTATTTTTAACAACTTATGGACAAATTAAGTAACGAAATTTGAACTGATACCGTTGATAGTTTTCTTGTGTTTGATACTATACAAACTGCATTATCCTAACATAACTAAGCAATTCTAATGAATCATAAAGTTCCTTGTTATGTAATATCCATATATTCATCCTTCTTATGTCCATATACTTTCCCTTAGGTTCTCTCCATATTTAACAATGTAAAACAACTGGCAAGTCTATTTTTAACACGCCATTAAATTATGTGGTTTAGAACGTAGACGGAATGAAGTGGAAACGATGCGGAAACACTGAGAAAACCCACTTGAATACCATTCACATATGTCAACATATTTTTATGTGGTGTTGTTTGGTGTAGGTGGAGGCTTTGCAATAACCTGTCCAAAGAATCTCTTCTAAATTTATAAAGAACTGACTCAGAATTAATTCTGAATCAGAATATGCCTAAGACAGCCATTGCAATTGAAGAAATAGTTTTAACATAACATATGAAGATGATTTTGAACTGTCAGTATATTATAAAAGTGAGGATTCCATAATGAAGAGTCTTCCTTCAAGTAAACTAGTAATTTAGTACCAGTGCTTACAATTGCCTGAAACTGGATCATATCCTGAGCCAACTGAATACAGTATACACATTCTCATTGTACCCCTGTAAAATTCAAGGGCCCATAGCTCTCATCTCAGTGGAAACCCTGTCCATGATCGTATTGCTGCTAATATACGAGGTGCGATCGGAAAGTTTCAAGACTGTGTCAATAGAGGGCGAACCGGATGTAGTACGAGCTTCTGCCGCTAGGGGGTGCGGCCTAATTTCATAGTGAATCAGTGTGCCAGCCGGCATCATCGAATTAGCATTTGTTTCTTAGTTACGGGCGTTTTGGTAGTGCATTACACCGACCCTCCTGCGATTTCGGAATGGCGTGTGCATCAAATTTGGCCAAAGACTCGCCAAAACGGCTACGGAAACCTATGAAATCCTAAAGCAAGCATTTGGGGAGTCCGCAAACTTTGGTGTGGCATTCACGTTTTAAAAATGACCGAACCTCTGTCGATGATG